GGAACTGTATTTGACAACACTTATTTTAAGATCTGCTATTGAGAAGGTCTTTAATACGATGAGACCACGGGCTAGAAGGGAAGGAGAGAAAGTAACCACGCCTGACAAGTCCTGGATGAAAACGCAAGAGAACCCCGTTCCTAGAGTCAGGGCAGCCTTCACCCCACACCGGGAGCTGCGCCACCAGGAAACACCCACCCTCTTGCTCCAAGCTCATCTTCCTCACACAGTGAGGCGGGCACTAGGCGGAGAAACCGACAAAGCGCGTCGCCTCCTGGGTGCCCTTTTTACACGAAAACCCCCAGAATGCAGAGTTCGGATCCACACCCAGTCGCCCAAGTCTCCCAGGGCGGCGCCCGTTCCCACCAGCCCCAGAATAGGGTTACACCACTTCCCTGGTTCTTATTTTTAAAAGACTGGGGCGCTGCAAATATCTACAACAAGGGCCTAATCAGGGCACAGAAGGAAAAAAAAAAAAAAAGGCTTTTTTTGTTGTTGCTGTTGTTCGAAGCTGGCAATATTTCCTCACCCCTAGCAATCCCTTTACCTCTCCGCCCGGGGCACGGGAAGGAAAAGGGGACATCAGGATTGCTGCGGCCTCGCCTTGACAAGTTTCCACTGGCTTGACCGCTTGCTCTTGCCAGGACGGAGGCTGGGCGTGGAGAGCGTTTCCACACCCCGGGATCCTGTACACCCGGAACCCCACGGTGCCGCCTTCGATCAGTGCCCCGGAGGGGGACCCTACTTACCCCACAACGGAAATCATCGTGGCAGCCACCACCAGGTAGTTGGTCTGATAATAGAGCAGGTTGCTCACCACGCGGTTGTTCCATTTGGAAATGTCCCTGAAGTCCGGCCGGGCGAAGCGGTCAGGGCCAGGGAAGAAATCGTCCCAGGCGCGGAGCGGGGCGAAATTCACGTTCATGTCTACTCTTTCAGCTTCTTGTTCTTCCCTTCTGGAATCTGGCGGCGGCGGCGGCGCCAACCGATCAGCTGACCTGGGTTAAAGATGACAGCGGCTGAGGCTCAGCCGGCTCTGCGGTTGGTGAACAGCGGAGCGAAGGAAATTGGGAGCGGGCGGGCGTTTTTCTCTTCTTTACTTTTTTTTTTTTTTTTTTTAAATTTTATTTATTTGTTTGACAGACAGATTACAAGTAGGCAGAGAGGCAGGCAGAGAGAGAGAGAGGAGGAAGCAGGCTCCCTGCAGGGAGCCTGATGCGGGGCTCGATCCCAGGACCCCGGGACCATGACCTGAGCCGAAGGTAGAGGCTTTAACCCACTGAGCCACCCAGGTGCCCCTCTTCTTTACTTCTTGATTGGCTCTAAGAGGTTGGCTACTAGAAGTGGGGCCTCGCGATAGAGCAAGGGGCAGAGTGCAAAATGGAGATGAAACTGACACAAAGAAACCAGAGGAAATCCCCAGTGTGAAACGAGATGGCAATGCCCTCTCTGACAGTGCCAATACACGCCACCTCCTTTAAAATGCCCCCTTTTGGGTGTTCAACATAAGAATGTGTTCTGGACTTCAGGGAAATTTTTTTGCAGCTGTTCAGATGCCAATCTAAGTGACATGGAACGGAAGGCAACTACAGCGTTCCTGGAAGATGAGCTGGTTTTGAAAACCAAGTAGTTTCTAACCTCTGCACATCTGAATGCAATTCTGATGTTTTCTCCTTCCCTATGAGTCACTATGAGTGAAATCAGATTGGCAAAATGGGAAAGAAGAACGTGTAACAGAAGGGCTGGCTTGTTATTTCACCTCTCTCTCTCTCTCTCTCTTTTTTCTCCATCTCTGTCTTCTCCAGACAAAATTATTGAACTACTGTACTATTCTGATGCAGTGGGCACTCTGGGTTCATCAACCTTGAGCTGGGATGTTGTTCACCTTAGAAAGCAAGCAATGGTCTGCAGTGACCAATAGTGTAGAGTAATTGCTTAGAGTTAGATATTACAGCTATTATTAATAATAGTACAGACCATGATTCATCTATATGGTATTAATAATAGTGTGTTAACCTGATTTGTTTTCTGTGGTTTATAAAGAACGTCCACTGACTTTTCTCTATCTTGTAATTTTATTGTGGTGATTTTCTCTGAGTGGGCTTCATAGGGGACAAAAAGGTGGAAGATTTGAGTATGATGCCGCAAATATTTTGAGTCCTTTCACGGCTCTATGAAAACACTCTGGGGGATTAAAAAAAAACAAAAGGTGAAAAGAGTGCAACCTTGCCCTGCCTTCAAGGATCTTGCAATGCAGTGCAAAGACTAACTTAAATATATTGCACTACGAGGAGTGCTGAGTAGAGATGTCCCAGAACTTAGTGCTCAGTTACAGGAAGTTAGAGGGTGTGGAAGAATCCCCTGGGGCTTAGAATTTTAAGAAGCCACACTGTGGGCAAGCTGAGAAGATGATCTTGGTCATGACCAGCATACCAGCACCAGTAGGACCCCACACCTGTTGGAGATCTCAGTGAGCATTAGGAGCTGTGACCAAGAACCTTCCAATTACTCAAGACTGCATGACTGTAAACTGTCAGATGTCTGTTAGTAATAATATGATTCCTCATTGATCATAGGCAATTGGTATCCAGTAAACATTTGTTCAGTGAATTTTTTTTTTTTTATTTGTTTACAGGCACCTGGCTAGCTCAGTTCGTAGAGCATGTGACTCTTAATCTCAGGGTCTTTAGTTCAAGCCCCATGTTGGGAATGGAGCCCGCTTAAAAAAAAAAGAAAGAAAGAAAGAAAAAAGAATGAATTTATTTGTTTAAACCTCTAAAGAGGTTTAAAAATAAAGAAACGAAAAAAGCCAGGTCTAACTTGTACTTAGCATGATTTCCTTCTCCCTCTCTTACAAAATACTAACCAGACTTCTCTTTCCGGCTGCGTATGACTTTTTTTTTTTCCCCACTACACATTTCTTTGTCAAAATCATTTTAAATCAAAATGGACACATCTGGAATCCTTACTTGATTTCAGGTACTCTTTGAAATGCTATTAGTAGCGGTACTTTGTCACTATTCATTTAGAGGGTCAGATTCAGTGTAGAGGCTTTCCTGTGGCTCTTATATCCATGCCTGTGCTTCTAGATGGACCCATCCTGAATATTTATCTGTCTGTATACAAACCATAGTGGATAGTCTAATAGTTTATGATATATTCCCTTTGAAATGAAATAAATCAGTTGCACGTCTGTTATTTTCATTGCTGGCAAGGGCAGGTGGCTACTTCTAATTGGTCTGTCTCAGTCAGTGGGAACGCCTTGGTGTCATCTAGCAAAACACCACCACAGCAGTCTAGGTGTTAGTCCCAAGGCACACAGATGAAGGGCTAGATGCCTTTGCACGCCTCTTCATTGTCCATCAGCACCCTGTTCCTGAGCCTTACCTTCCTCTCTATGAAATGGGTAGGTTTGAACTAGATGATCTCAAAGGCGCCTGTTGGTTTTTATCATGTGGGGGAGGGGGTGTGTGGAGCTTACTGTCCTTAATCAGAAGGTCTCCTTTTGATCAGAAAGTAACATTGCTTGGGCCCCACCCATTGAGCCTGTTTTGAAAAGCAAGGGCTTAATCTCAGTGGTTTCTATGGGCTGAGTAGCCTGGGCAAAATTAAAAAAAAAAAAAAAAAAAAGAGGTTTCTGGCTTGTTACTGAGACATGTGACCCAAGAAAGTGGCTGGTGTCTCCTGCTACAGACTGTGGACTGTGAACTCTCTTCTCCCACTTACTGCCTGGCACTGACTTTTAGCTCAATGAGTGCTATTGAACTGAACCTGATTGAGGGATAATAAAGGACAAAGAGGAGACAACATCATAATTTATTAACAGCAGCTACATTTACTGAGTACCCATTAGGTTTTACAAAACTCCATATCAGTGGTTCCCAAGCTTTATTTTGCACAGAATCATATAGGGCTTTGCAAAAGGGTGGGGATGGGGCTTGAAAACTTGCATTTATAACAATTTCCCAAGTGGTTGATCAGGGATTGTATTTTGAGAACCACTGTATTTCATTCAATTCTCAGTCTTACAAGGCAAATATTTTACAAATGAAGACCCAACATTGCTCAAACTCTCATAGTTCTATAAGTGGAGAGTTAAGAATTTAAACAGTTCTTCTGGACTCTAAATCTCATTTTTTCCAGCTCCAAGAAAGGCTACACACACACATACACACACATATACATATTCTTTTTAATATGAACTTTTGTATCCAGTCATCGAGACACAGACACTTTCATCTATCTATCTATTTCTGTCTGCCAGGAAGAAAATAGTCCAAAATTTTATCATTTATCTTCAGGTGATGAGATTATAGGTGTTCTAAATTATTCCTTAATTTTTGTGCTTTTTTTCTTTGTACTTTTATCTAAATATATGTTTTTCCCCATAAAAAAGGTGTTTTGTTTTGTTTTTTCCCCTATTCGGTTCCATTGCTGCTGAACTTATCTGACAGAATCATGGGACATTAAAAAGACTACCTTCGATATTCACAAAGGATGAAAATAATAATCTCTCCATCCCATCACTACAAACTGATTTAGATTTTATTCTCAAAGTGCGTACTCTTATGCAAAAATGTTTCCTGAAAAGTTAAAGGTGAAAATTACTCTGATGCTTAGCCTCAGAGAGACGCTCTGCAGGCATAAGGGTGGCTCTTCCAAGGAGTTTTTTCACAGAACATACCATTTTTTATAATTATTAATTACCACGTAAATTGTATAAACATATGGCGTATTATGCGTATATTTTCACGCAAAATAATGTTATACTCTGGGTAAGATTTATGTAATTAAGTGTAGTTAATCAAGATTATAATTATGTGAAAAAGCTTTAGAGCCCAGGGGAGCCTCGGCGCCGTCAGCCCTACCCCTTCCTCAGGTCCCGCCCCCTTGCCCCTTTCTGCTCCTCCCCGTCCCTTTCCAACTCTCCCTGCTGGTCCCGCCCCCACGCTTCGTCCTGCCCCTCCGCCCGCCCGCCCGCCGTGGGGGCTCCTGGGAAGAGGCGGAGAACAATATGGCGGATGGCGAGGAGCCGTAAGTACTAGAGCTCTGCAGGCGTGCGGGGTCGGGCTGGGTTGTGAGAGAGCGCGGCGGTGGGCGGTCGCCGCCGCCACCCGAGGTCCCCCCACTCCCCGCCCCGACCCCTCGCCCCCCCATCCCCTCGCGGCGCCCAATGTGTAGCGTGATGCTGACCCTTCTTTTATTCTCTCTTTCTTTTAGGGAGAAGAAAAGAAGGAGAATAGAGGAGCTGCTGGCTGAGAAGTTAGTGCTGCCGGGAGGCCGGGGCCCTCTCCGGGGACCCCCGCCTCCCCCCACCCCAGGCCTAGGGGACCAGCCGCAGCGGGCCCGGGGGGCTGGGAGGGGAGTACCCGGAGCGCAGGCCGCACGGCCTCATCCCCTGACCCCCATCCCGGAGCCCCAGGGGCCCGGCGGGCGGCTCCTTGTCTCTATCTCCGGCGGGCGCTGGAGCCGGGGTCCACCGCCGCAGGCCCGGCACCGGCCCGCGGGGGTGGTACTTGACCCAAAGGTCTTGCGGAAGGACCATTGAGCCCCACCCCCTCCTCCACCCCCAAATTGTCATAGCCGTGACCTTGTGATTAAACTCATGAAACGGACACTAGGCCGTTTTTGGCCTTTCGTAAACACGGAGACAATAGTATTAATTGCAAACTTCTTAGGAGAACTTTATGTGTAAGGTATTGTACTAAGCACTTCAGTCATTTTTGCAAAAGAATTGGCTCTTAAGGGAGGATGTTGACTCCACAAAGAGCTTATTTTTTCCCCCCGTTTATTACACACCCTGTTTGTTTTATCAGATATTTAATTTTGTGCTGATGAGACAGATTTAAGCAGTGTTTTCTAGCCTGTCCCACGCCACATAATTTTTCGTCTCCCTACAGGGGAGGGGTAGAAGGTACTCTTGCAGTGGGTGTGGTGAGTTAGTAATTTCTGTTCCAGTTCCCAGTAGCGTGCTTTAAGAGTCCTCACGTATCTCCCTCTGAAAGTTTAATTTCAGTTGCAAAAGGATTGGGATGATAATTAATTTCACGAATTCCTTCCCACCTTTCATTTCCTTTCCACTTTTGCTTAAAATGACGGTAAAGGTTTGAATGCTTACTATATGTCAGGTATTGTACTAAGGCCTCTGTGTGGATTATCTCTTTATCCTTGTTCGGACCTTAAGGAGTAGCTACAAATGAGACTTATAGCCGCTAATAATCAGCGCAAAGTCACAATGTTGTGGAACCAGACCCAGTTTGACGTCAAATGCTCTGGTCTTTATTGTTAGGCAACACTTGTCCCTTCTGTAAAAATTGGTTCTTACTAGTACATTTGGAGGTAGAAACTGGGATTACAGGAAGTTTGAAAATTAAAAATAATCACAAACATAAATCTTGCAGAAAGTAAAAAATACATTTCTGTTAGAAAATACATTTTGTATTTTTGTTAGGGGAGTCCCTCCTTACTCAGTTGTATGTTCTAAAACGTTTGTAGTTGGTAATGCCTATCTGTAGTGTAATTACAACCCCAAACTTTTTTTGTGTTGAGTGAAAACAAAATTGGGATCTCTTTCAGGGAAAAATATGTGAATGTTTCTCTCATCAAAAAAAAGTCAAACTTGGAAAGGACACATAAGTTATATTAGATTTGAAGCAGCACTATTCTGAAAGTGGAGTTTCTTTTTTTTTTTCTTTCTTTTCCCTGATCCAAGTGTGTTGTTGGAACAGACTGGGGAAGTTTGTAGTGATCTTTTATAAATTCCAAATGTAGAAAAGCCCATTTCTCACCAATTGACCAATAATATCCCAAGTTTGATCTTGGGGTGCTTTAAGATCCCAGAAACATGTGGACTTACTTCATCAACATATGTAGTTCTTAACGTTAAATAAACTAGGTAATAGCCAAGAAAAAAGTTATAAGCATAAGCATAACCACATTGATTTTTCCCTTTTTATTTGAGCAGGTCTGCTTACTTTTTCATTTGGGGAGACCATAATAGTTATAGGTGTGGCTTTTTCCTACTGATCTTTGCAGCTGAATTTACTGTGTTCTGTGCAGAATGGCTGTTGATGGTGGGTGTGGGGACACTGGAGACTGGGAAGGTCGCTGGAACCATGTAAAGAAGTTCCTCGAGCGATCTGGACCCTTCACACACCCTGATTTCGAACCAAGCACTGAAGTGAGAAACATTTATTTTTAAATAACTCCTCTAATAGTTTTATATTTCAAAAATAATAAAATGCTTTCTTTTTAGTTTGCTCTTTAATAAAACTAATAATTATACAAGTTACCTTGAAATACTAAATATTTGAATATTTGCAGTTGATTATATTTAAATGACAAATATTTGAGTCATTTTCACGTTTCTCATGTAATATGTTGAAAATTCTCAAGAGTAAAATAACTTCATAATCTCATTTAAGATTCTAAGTTTTACTTCACTGAGAATTAGTTTTAAATGACTTCTGAGACGTTCCCCTTTTTAACTGTACTATGAGAAATTAAATCTGATAGAAATGTAGATATGCTTGCTTAAATTTTAAAATTTAGTTGAAATGAGCATCCTTACGTAGAATTGAAAATAATTAATCGCATGTTAAAAATTATGTGACTGCTATATAATAGAGGGATAGAATTTTGGACTGGTAGTGTTTGACATAAGGCAAACGTTCAATTACATACAACTTGTATTTTACTGCAAGGTAGAAAATATATTCTTTATAGTTAATTTTTATGTCTTTTGTGTTTATGAAAAGATGTTTTGAAATAGCAGTATTACGCTACTCCTAAAATTAAGGCACAGATTCTTGGGTTTCATTCATTGTATCATCAGTATAACTTTCCTCTCCTTTAATCTTGGACTGAATTTAAAGTATTTTGTGTTTCTTTGGATACTCCACCATATTTTCCTCTGCTTCTGAATTCTATTATGGTTTGCTTTTTTTTTTTTGGCCTGATAAAATTTAAGATACTGCTGTTAAATCATTGTTTTAAATTGTATTTCTGCTGATATACAATTTTCTAAGAGTTTTATCTTTTTTTTCCCTGTCATCTCCTGTTTTGTAAGTTTCCATCACTGTGTTCAAAAGCAGCAATTATTGTTCTTACCTTTTTACTTTTAGACCTTTAAACACCTTGAGCATGCTTGAGCCTCTATTCTAAGGTTTTTACGCTTTTTTCTTTCTAGCAAGTCAGTTAAATAAATTTGCTTTCCATCCTCTTTCAAAATTAAAAAAAAGGTAAGTCTTAGTTAACTAGGAATAGTAGTGGAAATAACCTTCTAATTTCATAAAAGTCAATTTAAAAACATTAAAATTGAAACCCTCTGAAGTCATTAGATTACAGAATTTCTGGTTCCACCTTGTTCATAAATTTAAAATAATTTATTAACTACAAAGTCTGCTCTTTATCCTTACTTGGGTTTTTCATGGAAACATCAGAAAGTGTTTTATGGTTTATTGCCTTATTAATGATACTTATGGTTATTATCAACCAGATTTTAATATGCTTTTTCATTCTTTACAGTCTCTCCAGTTTTTGTTAGATACATGTAAAGTTCTAGTCATTGGAGCTGGTGGCTTAGGATGTGAGCTCCTGAAAAATCTGGTAATATATATATATATATATATATATGAATTTTTTTTCTTCTTGTGGCAATTAAAGCATTTTCTTTTTCTGTTCTATTACCAGGAAATTTTTTGTTATGATTGTTAACCTTTTTTCCTGTGAGCCTTTGTTAGATAAATTTAGCAGGTGAAATTTGAGATAGTAGTTAACATAATGATAGAACTGGAACTTTTTACACTCTAAAGTCCTCAACTGTAAAGTCATTGATAGAAAATTCTTCTTTTTTCTTCTCTGATATTTAGCAAACAAATCTTTGTGCTTCCTCTTGCATAGCAGTCATTAATTTTGGTGACATTAATGACAAAACTGATAATTCACATTTTAACATGTAATTTCAAAGAATTATTTCTTCTGTTTCTCCAAATAACCCAGTTAGGTGGATAGAATATTGTCTCATTTAATATAGAGGGAGATGAGTTTTTCTGAATAGTGATAGCCCTAGAACCTAGTCCAGGTCATTAATTCTTAGTCAAGTGTGCTTTTCACTGAACCATTAGGTCATTACAGGAGTTAAACATAAAATTTGGAATAGCTAGACTTTTTTTTTTTTGTACAGTTTGTTTTCACTGAATATCATTTTGAGAGGGGGTACTCTTTACAGAAGCTATTTGTTTATACTGGTTTGAAATCCATAATATGTGACTTAATAGTTTCACTGACTTCTTGTAACTACAAATAACTTTTTATAAGGCTTTATTGGTTTATTTAATAAAAATGGGTAGGAGAAGAATTGATTTAAAGGTGTTGTATGTCAGCCTTCTCACTGGTGTGTAGAAAATTGGAAATGCTAGAGGAAACCCCTTAGAAAATGAATCAGGTCACATAACCACATGAGGGACCTACAAAGCTGGCCTTGTGACTGTAATTTAAATGTCAACAGCTACATTCATTTTGCTAAGAAAACACTAATGTCAGTGTTAGTGAAACTGCAGAAACTTAATACACTTCTTGGTACTTAACTGCTCTGCTCAGTTCTGAAGGGATTTTAGGTCATCATGGTCCATGTCCTTAATGAATTTGAAATTTCATTGGAGAGACAACTCTTATATCAAATAAACAGCATTATGTATGATATACTATGAGATGGGGTGCCAGAATGACAGAACTTTCTCAAACATAAAAACCCTTGCAGTACCAAAGAATTCTAGAAGGGAAAGATTTATGGAAGACAGGTAGTAGTTTTGGCAGGCATTCTATGTTAAAATCCCCTAATGCTTAACTTTTTCTTTTATGAAGCTGTGACTTGCACATGTGATGTTTAGTAATCTTAAATGTGAATTAATTGGAGATTAGATCTGAGGAATAGTTATCAAGGAACTTTAGGAATGGCCTTATTGCATTGTAATGCCTTAAAAGAAGAAAACTAATTCTTTTCAATTACCACTTGTTACTTTGCTTATTTCAGACATAAATATATGAGAGATGTGCATGGTTTTTTAAGATTGATTGTAAGCCCCCCACCAAAGGCTCATTCTGAAAAAAGAATAGGACATTAATATTGTTGATTGAACAAATAGTTATAGAACCCCCCGCCCCATATGCCAGGTACCATTTTGAAAGCTAAAGATACAGCATGGAAAAGTACTGCCAGGTGTTTGTGTTTTGGGGTCTTATGGAAGGAAAAAGACAAGTAAAATACATAGTATGTCAGATAGTAATAAATGCTATGGGGAAAGGAAGAATAGAAGATAGGTAGCCTGGTGGGAGGGGAACTGGTTTACAAAAAGATGGCTATTTGAGCAGAGAGGTGAGCAAGAATATTCTAGGCAGAGGGACCATCGGGTGCAAAATCTGCGAAGTGGGAGCATGACTTTTATGTTCTAGGAGGAAATGAGGTCATTATAGCTGAAGCAGAAGTGGGCAAGGGGGAGCAATTTCCCACAGGATATCCAGAAGTGATGGGAGATGGAAGGGCTCAGCGAATATGGGCTTTAGAGGCTCCTGTAAAAACTTTGCCTTTTATCTGAGTCAGGAAGTCACTGGAGAGATTTAAGCAGATGAGTTGATTTGATCTGAATTTTAACTAGGTTCACTGAGCCTGATTTGTGGAGAAAAGACTCAAGGAAAAACAGAGCAGGAAGCTAAGAGGCTGGTTGGGTGGTTGTTACAGTAATCTAGGCAAGAGGTGACAATGACTTGGAGCAAGATGGTAGCACTGGAGGTGGTGAGAGTCTGTGAGTGATGGATATGTTTTGAGGTTGGAGTCAACAGGATTGACTAGTGGATTAGTTATGGGAAAGAAGAGAAAGAGAGGAGCCAAGGATGTCATGACAAGGTTTTTTCCCTGAGCAACTGGAAAGATTGTTAGCATTCATTGGGAGACACTAGGAAAAGAATAGATTTAGTGGTGTTGGTGAGCAAGGACGATTGAGTTTGGTTTTGGAAACTTAATTTTGAGGTGTCTGTTAGACAATGCTTTATCTTACAAGATTGTCAGAGATCACCAGCACTAACCAGAATTAAGCACAAAGGCACTCCAAATTCTGGCCAGTGAAGTAGGAGGAAAACTCCTGAGTGAGGTGAACTGGAAACCAATTTTTAATGTTCAAATTTCTCACGAGTGTATTGACCAAGTGAGGAATTTATTTTATAGAGGAGGAATTGATCCACACACTGCCAGATTACTTTAGGTGGGTAAGATCAGAGAGACTGAAAATTGTCATTGGAAATAATAACATGGAAATCATTGATGACCTTGACAAGAGCAGTTTTCTGCGAAGTGGTGGGAGTGAAAGCTTGTTAAGTTTAAGTGTGAGATAGGAATATGAGAAAGCATGTATGGACAACTTTGGAGGATCTCTTGCTGTAAAGAGAGGCTGAAAAGTAGGGAAATTATTGACACTTGATTTAATTTGACTACTTAACTGACCAAAACTAGAAAAGCATTAATTATTCAGACTTTTTTTTTTTTTTAATCTTTTGCTTCTGCTGGTAAATTTGAGCACTAGTTGTACTGCAACAGTTTGTTGCTTTTCCCTAGCTTTTTAAATTGCTTGTTCTTGACTCAATACTTTTGGGATATTCCTTTTACATATGCTACGTACATATGTGTGTTGATAATGTACACCTTCTAATAGTTATTTCTGAATTGGTAACGTACTTAATGTTATGTCAACTATGATAAAACTTGTAGGAATTGCTTTTTAACTGTATTCTGAAAAAGAATAGCAAACTCAGTTAATTAGTAAGACTAGTAAACTTAAAATATCTGGCGGCAGCAGCAAAGCAACAAACTATACAAATGTGTTCATGGGATTATAAAACAACTATGGAAATTTTGAGTTGTTCTCTTTTGTTTGTAGACTATTTAAAACTGAGTAGCTACACATTTTTGACTTTTACAAGAACCCTAAATTTTATATACCTTATATACCTTGTAAGATACTTTAACCATTGGATACAATTCTGTAGAATTTATTATTGAGCATTTATAAATTTCAAGGACTACCTTAAAACCTTAAAATACCTTAAAACAAATCTTAAAATTTCAAATGTGGGGAAACCTCTGCTTAATTGGATTTTTTTTTTATTCCCACAGGCGTTGTCTGGTTTTAGACAGATTCATGTTATAGACATGGACACTATAGATGTTTCCAATCTAAATAGGCAGTTTTTATTTAGGTAAGTTTTAAGATACTAGTTTAAAATTCTGATAATCACTTGAACTTGAGTACATCGCAGTAATACATTTTACAAACTATGAGAGGGTAACAGTAATTTTAAAAATAACTGCCACTCTCTTTTTTAGGTAAAATTTTGCAAGAAAATTGTGAGCATTCTGGTGAAACTAGTTTTAAAAACAAATACATGATTTTGTTGTTGTTTAAAGAGATTTCCAAATGCTTTATGTGATTTGGGGCGAGGCTCTTTTCCTCCTGTTGATTTCAAAAGAAAACATAGCTGGAATATTGGGCGCTTGTGAGATACATTGGTGGAGACTGGTGGGCCAAGAATTGTATGGTGACTCCGGGGTAATGAAGTTGTGGGAGAGTTTGAACTTTCTTACAGAAAAAAAGAGAAAACAGACAGTTAAGGAGAGAAAACCCAGGAGCGGTTGAAATGGAATAAAGGGATAATTACCTTAGACGAACATGAAATATAGAAGGCATCTGGGAATGGATTGTTAGAAATGACTTTTAAAACTGCAAGTAGGCCGTATATGCAGACGTGAGGAGAGGTTCATTAGTGAATTTTAGTATGTAGCATTTAGAGATTTGACGAGCTCAGATATAAGTGTCATTGCTCAAAGAACTATACATACGGAGGGATAAGGACTTTTTATTTTTCTTTCTAGATTATTAGGTTATTAGCAGAAAGTGCTCAGATAGTTAGCAGAGAAGGTAAATTTAAATTTTTGGATAGGCATGAAACCTGTCTTTGTGGAAGATATTAAAGAGGTTGAAGGATGGGTCAAAGTCAAGTTAAGGAAGTGTTGTAATTGCTATATGAACTCTACATTTCCTGTTTAGGCTTTATCTTGCTTAATTTTTAACCCTTGAAACTACCTTTCTCTGAAACTTTGTGGATCATGATACATTTTAGTATATGAATGCTGTAATAAAGGTAACACTGAATTGGTTGGTTATTGATAATAAGCCATGCCCTTTAGTTTATAGTTAAAAAAATGTTTGCAAATCATAATGATAGTTAACATTTGTTGAGTGCTTAGGTTGTAGTGAACTCTTCGTCTATATTCGTAAACTCTATTAGTTGTAGTAAACTCTTCATCTATAGTACCTGTTTTAATCTCAGAGCAGCCCTCAGGGCAGGTACTTATTTTCAAGACTAAGCAATTAGGCCAAGGTGTCCTGCAAAGATGATACCTGTGAAAGGCCTTTTGTTCAAAGTGCAGTTTTTAGGTGGAACAGTCTGATCCCCTAATTCTGGAAAGGTAAATTAGCAGTCTCCACAGAAACCATCTAGGAGTTTTTTTTGTTTGGGATCTGCTGTGGAAGCACATATAATCCACAATGTAAAAGAATCTTGAAAATATCCTTTATTCCTTTTACCCAAAGAGCTCTGTCCTTTTACCCAAAGAGCTCTGTCCAGACTAGTTAAATGCAGTACTGAAATCAGGTTCCTTGATCTATAACTAGAGCCTAGTTACAGGACAAGTCAGAATAAAACTCTTATCAGAAGTTTTGAATCAGGAGAAGCACACTGGGGCACCTGGGTGGCTCAGTGGGTTAATAAGCCTCTGCCTTCGGCTTAGGTCATGATCTCATGGTCCTGGAATCAAGTCCTGCATCGGGTCTCTCTGCTCGGCAGGGAGCCTGATTCGCCTTCTCTCTCTGCCTGCCTCTCTGCCTACTTGTGATCTCTCTCACTCTATTAAGTAAATAAATAAAGTCTTAAAAAAAAAAAAAAGCATACTGCTTCATCGGAGAGAAGAAAATTGACCTGTTAAATTTTTTTTCTTTAAAATTCCAATTTTAAATAAAAAGTAATTATTAGTAACGATTTTTTTTTAAAAAATCTTCATTTAAAATATTCTGTGCTTGTATCTGAAGGACTGGAAAGAGATAGAATATGGTTACTTTCTTCCAAATGTTCATAGTCTAGTGGGTATGAAAGACCTCTGTATCTAATAAAAAATATGTTGTGGAAAAGTAGTAATGAAGCACTGTGTATGTATGAGGGAGTGACTTACTTCTGTGAGGAGGATGATGAAGTACTATGAAAGAAAATACTGTTTGTACTGAGATAAGAGGAGAGACTTCCCTGTGTCCTTTTCTATAGCAATGGTTCTTATCTAGGAGTAACCTTTTGAGGTCTTCTGTTTTTAGTTTCTTAGGAATGTTGGCATCATTTGCAATTTTGGATAATGTCTTCAGCATTATTTCTTCCAAACATGCTTATGGCTTCATTTGGGGCATAAAATTTACTGTTTAATCAGCATACATGGGGAAGAGGATACTTGAAGGCTCTTGTATCCCTAGAATGAATTGTGTGTATATTTCAGCCAAGACCTCCATAGTTAACCCCTTGAGGTTCTGGGGTTCAGGGCAGATTTGGAAGGCTCTGGGTATGGGATAATTTTTTACATTGGGAAATGCCACAGTGGGAAGTGGCCAGGAAACATACGATTGTTATGCTTTCTGGGGTTGGGGGGGTACTGTTTATATTTACATTTAAGAAATAATTAGACTTGTCAGTACCTGTAAATACTTCATTTGGAACATCAGTTAGCATTGACATTTGTGACCAATTACATATCAAAAATATTTAGATAAAAGTGTTTCTTCTAAATATTCTCTAAATAAGCTCACCATGAATATTTTTTCTGTCTGAAATAAATTATATAGATCATCTAGATTTATATCATGAATGATAATTTAAATATAATTTTTCCTATAGGCCCAAAGATGTTGGAAGACCTAAGGCTGAAGTTGCTGCAGAATTTCTAAATGACAGAGTTCCTAATTGCAATGTAGTTCCGTATCCTTTTGACAAAAAAAGTTACTTAATTTTCTAAAGCTTTGTGTTTTCTTTATTATAAAAGAGGTATTTAACAGAAAATACAGATAAACAAAAACAAAAACAAAAAACAAAAAACAACAACAAAAAAACCCCATCAGCAGTAAGCTTATTACTGAGGTACTTACTGGTGACATTTTGCTTTATATTCTAGTCTTTTCTTTAAGGTTATATAAATATTTCTTGCCCTAATTTTTAAATTAAGCATTTATGGCCAGTACAATTGTTTATTTTGCATTATTTGCATTATTGCCCTTCCTTAATTTCAGTTTGGATTACATATCTCTTGTTAGACTATAAGTTCCTTGTCTGGCTATAGTTAATCTTTGTGTGTCCCTCCAGTAGCACACTGAGTAGACGCTCCTTATATATTAAGCAAATGGAACGTGTATCAAAGTATATTTATTTTTCCAAGAAGTATGTTTTGGTTTTGTTTTTTGTTTTTTGTTTTTTTTTTTTAAAGATTTTATTTAATTATTTGAGAGAGAGAGAGCATGAGAGGAGAGAGGTCAGTGGGAGAAGCAGACTCCCTGCTGAGCAGGGAGCCCAATGTGGGACTTGATCCTGGGACTCCAGAATCATGACCTGAGCTGAAGGCAGTTGCCTAACCAACTGAGCCACCCAGGCGCCCCAGTTTTTTTTTTTTTTTTTTTTTAAGATTTTGTTTATTTATTTGATAGAGATCACAAGTAGGCAGAGAGGCAGGCTGAGAGAGGGAGGGAGGGAAGCAGGCTCCCTGCTGAGCAGAGGGCCAGATGTGGGGCTCTATCCCAGGACCCTGAGATCATGACCTGAGCCAAAGGCTGAGGCCTAACTCACTGAGCCATCCAGGTGCCCCCTAAGAAGGATGTTTTTTAAAAAAGAAGTGTTTGATCTGGAGAACTTCCAGTGTGTTTTATAGAAATTCATGAGGTGAGCTTTGCTGTTTGGGAAATGCTAGAGGATACAAAATAAACATACAAAAATCAATTATATTTCTGTGTACTAGCAGTAAAAATGTGGAGAGAGAAATTTAAAATACAATGAATGCCATTTATAACCGCTCAAAAAAAGGGGGGGGGGAATACTTAGGTGTAAATTGAATAAAATGAGTATATGACTTGAATGCTGAATACTGCGAAATGCTGATGAAAGAAATCAAAGAAGGTCTAAATAAATGGAGAGATACTCTGTGTTCAAGAATTGGGCAGTTGGACATAGTAAGGATGTCATGTCTCCCCAGATTTGTATATAAGTCTAATACATTTTCTGTCAAAATCCCTGCAAAATTTTTTGTTGATACAGACAAAATTATTCTAAAATTTATATGGAAAGGTGAAGGAATACCTGAAACAATTCTGAGGGGTGCCTGGGTGGCTCAGTGGGTTAAGTGTCTGCCTTTGGCTTAGGTCATGATCTCAGGGTCCTGGGATTGAGCCCCTCATCCACCTCCTTGCTCAGCGGAGAGTCTGCTTCTCTCTCTGTCCCGACTCCCACTTGTGTTCTCTTTCTCTCTCTCTTAAATAAATAAAATATTTTTAAAAATTAAAAATAAAACAGTTCAGATAAAGAATAAAGTGGGAGGAAATCACAATATAATTTCAAGACTTACTGTAGCTACAATAATCAGGTCTGTGTGGCGTTAGCAGAGATAGAGACACACATCAGTAAAACAGAAGAAACCAGAAATAGCCACAGGCAAGTATGGCCATTTGATGTTTGACAAAAGTATAGAAACAGTTCGGTGGAGGAAAGGATAAGTTCTTAACAAAAAATTGTGATGGAGCCATTGGATAGCCATAAGCAAAAATGTGAATCCCAAATCCCAACTCAAACCTCAAAATTGGAAAAATTAATTCAAAATGCATCATAGGTTTTAGTATAATATGTAAAACTGTAAAACTTTGGATGATAGTATAGGAGGAAATCTTTGTTATGTAGAGCTTGGTGAAGAGTCCTTAGATCACATCAAAAAAGTATGATCCCTGAAAGAAAAAAAAATGATAAATTGAACTATATTAGAATTTAAAACTTTGTGAAGGGCCCTGTTAAGAGAATGAGGTAATATATAATGATGAGAATGGGATATCATTATGAAGTAGGTATCTGACAGAATACTCATTCTGAATAAATAAAGAATTCACAAAATTAAGTAATAAAAAAATGCAGTTAGGAAATGGACAGAAAATGTGAAAGTATATTTCACTAAAGAAGATAACAAAAAGCAGATGAGAAGATGTTCATCATCACTAGCTATAAGAGAAATCCAAATTATGACCACAGTGAAATACACAGTAATGTAAAATCCTGGCAAAGCTACAGAAAAACTGCATCACTCATCCATTCCTAGTGGGAGATGTAAAATGGTATTGTCATCTGGAAAACAGCCCATTTTTTAAAAACCTGAACATATACTTCCATGGGACTCAACAGTTTCATTCCTGGGCATTACCCCAGAGAAACAAATACTCAGGTCTGCATTAAACTTGTTCCTGAATGTTCATAGCATCTTTATTTGCATTAGCCAAACACTGGAAACAATCCAAACATCTGTCACTAGGAGAATTATTAAACTGTGGTATAGCCATACTGTGGAGTATTGCGTAACAATAAAAAGGAATTAACATGCAGCAAGTTGGGTGGATATCAAAGATGTGCTGAATGGAAAATCCCGATATCAGAAGGTCGTATGTTGTATGTTTCTATTAATGTAATATTCTTTAAATGACAAAATTAGAGACGGAATAAATTAATGATTGCCAGGGATTAGGCATCAGAGGTTGGAGAGGTGTGACTCTAAAGGGGTAGCAGGAGGAAGAGCTTTGCTGTGATGGAATAGTTGTATAACTTTATGGTGGTGGTTACACAAATCTACATAAGTGTTTAAATCACAGAACTGTACATACTCATTTTTTCAATGTCGTATTTGTGGTTTTGGTATAATAGTCCTGTAAGATGTAACCATTAGGGGAAACTGGATCAAAGACTCTTGGGACATCTTTATACTAGCTTTGCAGCCCTCTGTCGTTATATGTTATTTCAAAGTAAATGTTTGAAAAGGCAAATACAGACCTCCAAAGAAAGAAAGAAAAAAAAGAATATGCAAACTCTAAAAGTTACATCTGTGAACTTTGGGTATTTTATAGAAATCTAGGATGTGGAATTTCTTGGTGTGGCTCCTGAGTCCTATTACTATTCTTCTGTTTGCTCTGGTTCTCTCTCTCTCTTTTTGTTTCAGCGGTACAGGTCTGTGATTCATCAGTCTTATATAATACCCAGTGCTCATTACAACACATACCCTTCCCAATGTCCATCACCCAGTTACCCCATCCCTCCACCTGCCTCCCCTCCAGCAACCCTCAGTTTCCTATGATGAAGAGTCACTTATGGTTTATTTCCGTCTCTGGTTTTGTCTTGTTTCATTTTTTCTTCTCTTCCCCATGATCCTTTGTCTTGTTTCTTAAATTCCACCTGTCAGTAAGATCATATAATTTTCTTTCTCTGACTTATTTTACTTAGCATAATAGTCTCTTGTTCCATCCATGTCATTGCAAATGGCAAGATTTCATATTTTGATGACTGTATAATCCATTGTATATATACATATATATATATCTTCTTTATCCATTCATCTGTTGATGGACATTTGGGCTCTTTCCATAATTTGGCTATTGTGGACATTGCTGCTATAAACATTGGGGGTACAGGTGCCCCTTCAGATCACTACATTTGTATCTTCGGGGTAAATACCCAGTAGTGCAATTGCTACCCAGTCATAGGGTAGCTCTATTTTTAACTTTTTGAGGAACCTCCATACTGTTTCCCAGAGTGGCTGCATCTATTCTCTTTTGACCTCCCTGTTAAAGCTGCAGTTTATGCTTCCTGTTTGCCTAGCATTCAAAAGGAAAAGAGGCCTGAATGGGTGAGGGCGAGAATTGAATCTATTTTTTATAGCTTTTTTTGTAGGCCAGAATACAAAATCTAGGACAAGTGTATTTTTATATTGTCCCTCTTTTCTCCATTTTGGTTTTTAAAAAATATATGATGGATTATTTATTGTACTTAGAGAAGTATATATATTACTAAAAAAATTGTTCCATTAGAAAAATTAAAATTTTTTGTATACATGTGCTGTTATGATATTAAATGCTATGATTGATTAACACCCACAGCCATTCTTGTTGGGGTTCTCTTGATGGTTTTCAGGCAGGGAAAGACTGCTGGTTGGGTTTGGTAGAGTAAAAAGAGACTTGGAACAAAGAATTCATACTTCCCCTTACCCCAAAAATAACAAATCACATTTGTACCTGAAAAAACTAGTGGAAACATCTGTTTTTTTTTTAAATTAACTTTGCAGCAGTTACTCTAATTTTTAATTGAAAATATTTATTATATAATGTATAAATTTAAGGTGTACAAGATGTTAAATTTGTGTTCTGAGTCTTATAGTCATCTGCCTAAATGGGAATTGTAATATGCTTGTTTCCTTCACTAAGATGCATTGTTGCCTTTGGTTGAGGACACACAGTCTGCCTTTCCATGATGTATGGTTTTTTATAAAAATTGAAGCAGAGTAGAGAGTGTAAGAGAGACATAAATGTAGTCTGGGGGCTCAGGGATGAGAGAAACTACTGTAAGTAATTGGAGTGTTTACAAAAGAGGTTTTGTCATGAATTAGGGTTGTGTTCTTTTTGTCACATTTCCTGATTTCCACTGCTTTGAACATTAATGGCTTATTCTTGTTGTGTACCTTTATAATTTGTTCCTTATGGCATTATTAAATTCACTTCATAAGTTAAAAACTTAGCAGCTTAAGTTCCTTTACTTATGTTCAGACATTTCAACAAGATTCAGGATTTTAATGACACTTTCTATCGACGTAAGTTTTCTACTTGAAATTTACTTTTCACTAAATTCTTACTGTATTTAGTTGCTAGCTATTTGAAGGCTATTTCTTCATTCGTTTTCATCTCTTGGTGTTTGCTTTTTAGTAAAGTTGGCTGAACAGAGAATGCCACGGTTTTATTTCTTAGCTGACATCATTAGCTGCATTTTTATATGCTGTCTTGAGTAAGGATTACTCAAGGATTAGGAAGTATATGTGTTTGTATTACAATAAGAGGTGGGGGGTTTTTTGTTTGTTTTTTTTTAGAAAGTGAATTATTTTGTGCAATGGCATTTTTAAAAGCCAAACTTGCTTTTTCTTCCGTAGAATTTCATATAATTGTATGTGGACTGGACTCTATCATAGCCAGAAGATGGATAAATGGCATGCTGGTAAAGACTTTAATGTTCTATGGTTCTTTGAAATTCTTGCTGCTGCTCTTAATATACCAAAAATTAGGATACCATACCATATTTTTGACAAATCAGAGTTTATTTAATTTTCAACTAAGTAGATGTACATCACGATATAGTGCCAGTCATTAACTTTCAGGTGAGAATATAAACTGCTAGTATCATAATCCCATGATTTGATAATCTGGTACTCAATAGTGCGATTGATTTGTAGAATTTCTAGAGAGCATGTTTCTCTTTTGAATTCTTACTCCCCTCTCTTACCTTTAAATAATTTTCCTAGATATCTCTTCTGAATTATGAAGATGGTGTATTAGATCCAAGCTCCATTGTCCCTTTAATAGATGGGGGGACAGAAGGTTTTAAAGGAAATGCCCGGGTGATTCTGCCTGGAATGACTGCTTGTATTGAATGCACACTAGAACTGTATCCTCCACAGGTAAAGAAGCACCTGTGTTTGTTTTATAGTCTCTTGGGGTTGAGTTAGGACTAATTATTAAGTCTAGTCAATATTTAGGATTTTTAATTAGGGGTAACCATATTTTAAAAATCATACGAAGAAGAAAGATAAAATATGAAAAGAAATTTGTGAAAAGAAAGGAACGGAATATCATGGTACTGATACTATTCTGTTCTCATGATTTGTACTTTTTTTTTTGTTTGGAGAGTAGAGATCAAGGGATCCACTACAAAGTTAAATGTTGGGATAGAGCTATCTTGTTTGGTTTTTGCCTGTGATTGTTTCAGGGAGATAAAGATACCAGGGATGAGCATGATCCTTCCAGATATGGGGCTCTTTAAGCTGTATACCCACTTTAGGGAATAGTTAGAATTTTGATTTATAAATAAATATGATTTTTTTAGTATTTACTTGGAATTGATTTAACTCTGTGAATTTGCTTTTGCTTTGGTTTATGTTATACCTTCAGATTGAAATGTGTAAACATAATAAAATGCTCATATTTGAGAACTTACTCAGCACTTTTCATGATCTAACAAGCTTAAATTTATATACCCTGTAAATGTAGCACAAATCTACATTCCTGTGTGAATGTAAGGTGACTCAGATGCTGTCTTTTAGTTTTAGAAGCATTATTAGTGGTATAAAATGTTTTGTTTTTGTAAGTGGAAAGCTAATAAGAATTTTAACCTCCTGTCTACTTTTACAAAATAGACCTAAGTAGAAGCTACATTTTAAAATAATTCATTACTTAAAATCCACTAAAAAACACCCAACTGTGATTTTAGGTTAATTTTCCCATGTGCACCATTGCGTCTATGCCCAGGCTACCAGAACACTGTATTGAGTATGTAAGGATACTGCAATGGCCTAAGGAGCAGCCTTTTGGAGGTAATAAACTGAATTTCATAATCTGGAATTATGTAAGATATATATTTATTTATATTATTCATTTGTATCTTTACATTAAAACATGAACTGATTTAAGTTTACATGTTTCTGTCTTACCCTCCTTGCTTTTTTTTTTTTTTTTTTTGGTAACAGAAGGAGTTCCATTAGATGGAGATGATCCTGATCATATTCAGTGGATTTTCCAAAAGTCCCTCGAGAGGGCATCACAATATAGTATTAGGGGTGTGACCTATAGACTCACTCAAGGTAAGTTAGTGAACTGTTATGAATTTTAACCTTGGGATAATCCCATTTTCAGGGGTTGGGATACTCTGAAGAAATAACAGATAAGTGATTTCAGATAGTACCGGCCATTTGAGGTTCAGTCAAGGTAACATGGAAATGGTAGTGTGCAGGTGTCTTAAATTTGGTTGGAGGAGGGAACAGAGTTTGACAGAATCCAAACTACTTCTTAGCTAGGAGTAATTTTTTTAAAAAAAGATTTTATTTAGTTATTTATTTGAGAGAGAGAGAGAGAGAACATGCGCTCTCAAGGCGAGGGAGGACTGGAGGGGCAAGGAATCTCAAGCAGACTCTGGTCTGGGCACAGAGCCCAAAGCAGTCTCACAACCCTAAGATCATAACCTGAGCTGAAACCCGGAGTCAGATGCTTAACTGCCTGAGCCACCCAGGCACCCCAGCTAGGAGGAACTTCATAAAATCACTGAATCTTACTAGAATTGGAAGAGGCACTAAGTCATCTAAGGCGAACCATTCATTTTATCTTTAATTGAAGAGGAAGGTGTCACCTCCTGGGGCAATCTATTTTTACATTTGGATAAGACTGTTAAGACAGTTATTTTGTATGTTGAGCAGAAGGCTCCCTCTTTAGTTTGGTGTGAGTATTGTCCTAGGGTATATCAATATAAATCAAATTCCCTTTTAAGTAATAGCCTTTTACATAAACAGAACAGTAATCACATTCCCTCCAAATCACTATCATCAATCTTTCTAGTCCCTTTAACCCTTTTACATGTTGGCTGACATTAAGTTTCCATCCTGTTTTTTTTTTTTTCTTCTCTTTTTCTTTTCTAACCATATTGCAGTTATCCATACTTATCTAGGCTAGAATGAAGCACGCTAAGATTAAAATAGACTTCTGATAATTGATGCAGTCTTAAAGGAGAGCAGGGTTTTTTGTTGTTTGTCATTTACGTTGATGCTATACTTCTGATTCTTTAGGTCACTGTCCACTAAAATCTGGAAGTTCTTTCTACATGGCAGTTGCTAAGCTCCATTTTCCCATTATAGGTTTGGCAGTTTTTTGGGGGTGGTAGTATTGTCTTGTTATACTCAAGTATAGGTCTTTACAAGTTTATTCTTAAACCTGCTGTTTTCTCTTTACATATATCTTGTTATGCCTGCCAGCTTATCTGTTCTTGCCAGCATCTTTTCATTTGTTGTTTTGATAATAATGTTTTATCTCTTTCTCAGATAATTAAAAATTTTAACAAGATTGAACTGCCTGAGAACAGACATTTGAATCAGGCCCTTTTTGTTTTATCTCATTTTTTTGATCAGGCCTTCTTGAGTATTTCCTATTTCTTTGTCTTATTCACAAGGATATCTTTCTAACTGTTTTCCTGAAGCCTGGATGTGCTATCTTCCACATTTCCCTGGGTGGCCAAGTTAGTAGTCACAGAAACAGAGTCCGGCACGACTTGTCTCAGTGAACGATCATAATGCTCTGTCTTGTGATCATTGTTTCCTAAGCTAGGTACTCATAATTAATCTTTCTAGAAGTTTTGTCTGAAGTTCATTACTGAGTTCACCAGAAAATAAGCTTTGTCTTCTTTTTGAAAATGTGCCGTTTCTCTTCGGTGATTTTGTCCTCATACCTACTGATTTCTGGTGATGTCATTTAAAAATTCTGTTCTTAGACGCTTCTTGTTGCTCCCTTTATTCCCCCTGTTCCCAACCTGCTTTGTTCTTGAAAATACTAACCTCATTCCCATCTTGGAGCTTTAATACTCCTGATTCTTAGGCTGGGAATGTTCTTCCTTGGATCCCATTAAGGCTGGCTGCTTATTGCTCTTGGTATCAAATTAACCAGTTTACTTGATTATTCATCTAAAAATGACTTCTGAGCCATTCACTATCGACATTTTTATAATTCCTCAGAAATAATGGTAGCCTCGTTTTCTATGCAAAGAATATTTCATACTTACACTCTCATACATCCTTGCTGTTGGGCCTTTGCCCTTAACTGTTTACAGAAATGTTCTTTCCCTAAGTCATTGCATGGCTGGGTCTTACAGTTTTAGGTTTCACCTCAAATTACCACCTCCCTGAGGTCTTCCCTGATCATTCACTCCGATGGACTGCCTCCGTCATTGCCAACTCTACCATATACCTTTTGTTTTGTTTTTAAAAAGATTTTATTTATTTAACGGAGAGAGAGATGACAAGTAGGCAGAGCAGCAGGCAGAGAGAGAGGGGGAAGCAGACTCCCTGCTGAGCAGAGCACCTGATGTGGGGCTCAATCCCAGGACCTTGAGATCATGACCCGAGCTGAAGGCAGAGGCTTATTCCACTGAGCCACCCAGGTGCCCCTATATACTTTGTTCTACTTTCTTTTCATAGAACTCTTCAGTATTTGAAATTTTGTTACTTACTTGCATGTAATCTCCCTCAGCAAAAAGAAAGCTCTGTCAGAGCAAATAGGTTTTTTTCACTGTTACTTTGCATAACACCTAGAACAGCAGTCTGGCATGTAGTGCACATGTGGCAACTGTTTGAATGAGGTGATTTCAGTTTGTCCTGATCAGGAACTATAAATTCATTTCAATATGTAGTCTCATTCATATTTCTGTAACTTTCAGCAGGGTTTGGTGTGTACTTTTGAGCCTGATGATTGAGAGCCCTGACAAGGAGTACAGAAGCAAAATTGGAAGAGAAATCTAGCTGTTTTAAGGGGTAGGGGATGAGAGGACTCTTGACCATTTGGCTCTTCTTGGGCAGTATGTCTGCTACTCCTCACTGTGACTACCTGTTCTTCCTTCCGTACATCTGCTCTGTATGGTTCACTGGAGAGCTTCCAGTTTAACCATCAGGAAGTTAGTTCCTCCCTGTTTCCCCTTCCCTGAAATTATATGTTATCATATAGTTAGAATTAATGTTTTAAAACAGCTTCTCAAACTTTTTCATTGTCTTCCTTTCATGTCTTCTTAGATTATTTGGCTTTGCTGAGGTTCTTGAAACCTGCCTACACCTGAAGCCTTGGGGACATGTCTTTAAGTGCTCCCCCAGACCCCAAGATAATAACGGCTACTTTTTTCTGAAGTTTTTGTTTTCCAAAGTGAACAATTCAAATACAGTTAGGGAATATTTATGTTTTGCTTTAAAAAAAAAATGCTATAAGGTGGGGCTTTATTCTTTCCTATTCTGTGAAATACTGATACGGAAAAGGTGAGGTAGAAATAAAAGTACAACTAATATTTCATGTAGTCCATGTTACATAGGAAAATGAGATGAGGGGCAGTTTTTTGTTTGTTGTAAATTTTGGGGAATCAAATGGCTGAAACTATTATTAATTATTAATTAAATCTTATTCTTTACACTTTATTCAGAGCTCACTGAGTATAGTTCATATGCAATTCCTATCACTTACTAGATCTTTAACTGTGGATATTAATTTGTCTCAGTTTCATTTCCCTTATTTTAAAATCAGAGTAAGGAGACTAACAAGGGTGTTATGAAAATTCTGTCTTATTTAATCTTCTTGGAACATTCTAACTGTTAGCTGTTACTATATTATCTCATCTTTATTTGAAGCTTAGTGAAGAGTTTTCTTTGCTACTGTAACTTGTTTAAGATTCTGAAGATAAAATGATGGGAATGTGACAGAAGATCATTCCTTTGTTAAACTTCTCTATTTTCTGACCTGAAATCCTGAAAAATCAAGTTGTGGAAGATGATATTTAATAATCAGATTGTCTAATTTAAGATACCTATTCTTTAAAAGATTTGACTTTATTTTAATCAATATATTCTTTTCAGGAGTAGTAAAACGAATCATTCCTGCAGTAGCTTCTACAAATGCAGTCATAGCAGGTAAGGAAAAATGGCCACTGCTTAACTTTGTTTTCTTTCCTGAATTGTTGATTCACTATCTAAACTGACATTTCAACAGCTACTTGGTTTCAGAAAACAGGTGTTCTAGGAATTTGATACCTTTTTGGGTGGGTGGTTTAGTTTTTAAGCTGTCCAAAAAAGAAAAAGCTATTGGATTTGTATATATTTTGTCTTCATTATGTCATAAAGTGCAGTGCAGTAAGAGGACATTTTAGTACCTTCCCTTTCAATCAGTGTGAACAGGTTGCTCATTAATCTGAAGAAGTGGAAGGAAAGCATTTAATGCTACTCTGTTGCTTGGATTATACAAAACAAATACAAAATTTGTAACTTTTTCAGTTTTTGAGAGTATATTCTTTATTTTTAATCAGCTGCTTTATAACTTTATCTATAACTAACTTTTAAAAAAACATGAAATTTTGGGGTGCCTGGGTGGCTCAGTGGGTTAAAGCCTCTGCCTTTGGCTCAGGTCATGATCCCAGGGTCCTGGGATCGTGCCCTTCATCAGGCTCTCTGCTCAGCAGGAAGCCTGCTTCTCCCTCTCTCTCTCTGCCTGCCTCTCTGCCTACTTGTGATCTCTGTCTGTCAAATAAATAAAACCTTTAAAAAAAAACCCTGAAATTTTAAATTTCTAATTTGCATTGAGTTGAAGTACCTTTATTTTCTCCCCCTTCAGCTGTGTGTGCCACTGAGGTTTTTAAAATAGCCACAAGGTAATGGATTTCATTTTTTAATATGTATATAAATTGATGTTTTAACTTAACTCAATTATATAAAGATGAACCATTTTTCTTTACAGTGCATATATTCCTCTTAATAATTACTTGGTATTCAATGATGTGGATGGACTATACACATACACATTTGAAGCAGAGAGGAAGGTTAGTAATATTACACTAATGAAGAATTTTTTGATCACTCATACCTAGATTTTTACATATTAATTATTGGTTAGAAATATGGTCAAAATTGCCCACAGCCTAAGTATTTTCTAACTTCTAGAACCCTATTCATTATCTGTCTTTTACACTATAACCTGAAATAAATAGTATGTAGCAAAATAATTTAGGAAATTTTAAAACATAAAGATTTGTTCATAGGAAATACGTATGATTATTAAAACAATTCGATTCTTATTTCATCCTTATAGACTATTGTTGGTTCATGTGCTACTGTTATTTGTTGTTTTATATATGTAGGAAAACTGCCCAGCTTGTAGCCAGCTTCCTCAAAATATTCAGTTTTCTCCATCTGCTAAACTACAGGAGGTTTTGGATTATTTAACCAATAGTGCTTCTCTGTAAGTGTTGTGGACTTTTGTTCTGTTGTAGAAATACTTCTGTGATTTTAAAACTTTAAAAACTAGAATTATTTTTAAAAAGTGATCTTTTTTTGTTTGTTTCCTCTCTCATTATTCTGTTTAGGCAGATGAAATCTCCAGCCATCACAGCTACATTAGAGGGAAAAAATAGAACACTTTACCTACAGGTAATCAGTGTCTGCTTGTTTTTATTTTTATTTTTTTAGGGTATTTTTCCCCCTACAAAATTATATCACAAGTTTAATTTCATTTAATGTGCTTTACATTAAAATAATTTTGTTTTCTAGTCAGTAACCTCTATTGAAGAACGAACAAGGCCAAATCTCTCCAAAACGTTGAAAGGTACTTTAAATGAATATATTTACTAGTCAGTTTCTTCTGTTTTTTCTTTTGGTAAAAGTAATAAATGCTTATTATAGGTTTGTTTTAATGCCTTTAAAATGGCGATACCATTGTAATTATATTTTTAGAAGCAATGATAGAATTAATTCTTTTAGAATATTAAAAAATCTCTAAAAATCAAATACAGTATTACCTTGATTAAAGAGAACTAGATTTTGATGTTTATCTAGACATAAAACTGTATAGTTTGTATATGTGTGTGTTGTGCTTTTTGTTGACTTTTTTTTTTTTTTTTTTTTTTGCTTGGGTTAATTATACTTTTTCTGTTTTAGAATTGGGACTCGTTGATGGGCAAGAACTGGCAGTTGCTGATGTCACCACACCACAGACTGTACTATTCAAACTTCATTTTACTTCTTAAGGAAAATAAACTTGTACATAATAGAAAACTCATGGAAATATATTATGTGGATGCTAAGACATTTAATGTCATTTTTAGCATTAGTGTTGCTGGAATTTGACTTTTATATAATGAACCACTCTTTTTTAAATTTATAACTTCCCCTTGAAGACAGAATTTTGGGGTTGGTACTTGTAAGCATTTTCATTAATAATATGGGAAATGATGCTTGGAGAGAGAGAGAATGAGCAAATGTATTGCTTCTTTCAGAAATAGAGGCACGCGCTCTCTTGTGTCTGACTTTTGTTACTGTGGTCTAAGAACGCATTCCTCAGTTTTCATTTGAGCACCCACATAAAGAAAAGATGTCCCTCTAAAGAAAAAAAGAAAATTAAGTTTTAAATGACCTTGACTATTACACCCTGACATCTAGAACATGTTGAACATAGCCTATTTCTTGCTTGATTTAATACTCATTTAATTGTGGTTGTCCAAATGAATATTAATTATTGCAAAGGTTATCTTGTCTATAATAATTTGTAAATGGTATTATAGCTGAATACCTGTGCATGGATATGGGAACTATTTTCATGTTTACTTGTAGTGCCATAGAGGCCAGTATGCACAATATTAAAGCCAAGACATGGATGTTTAAAAGAATTTAATGTTCAGGCAGTTATCACTGATGCTTTCACACTATTTATTAATAAAATCATATATTGTCTACTTTTCTCACTGAAGTTTTTTAAAGTACATTAAGGATAGTAATAAGTAGTTCCATAGTAATGTAGGGAATAATTTTCAGATGTGTAGCAGGGTTACTAATACAGAATTTTTATGGTACCTGCATTAATACTTTTACCACAATAAATATCTCCTGATTTAATTTGCTCAAATGTAATAATGAAATAGAATCTTTTTATATTAAGGTCTCTTAAAATGCCCTTTTCCCCCTAAAAAACTAAAATTAAGCCTTAAAACAAAATTGAGTGTAAGTTTTGAAAAATGAGTTTGAGTATCTCAGTGTGGGAAACATGCATTTGTATTTCAATTTTTGACTAGATGACAATTTTCTACTCAAAAGACTTGTAATTACATGTCGCTGGGTTAAATTTTTACTCATTATTCTTTCTACCTCCAAACTGACAAATAATTTGTTTCATCATAAAGTCATAGGAGATCCGTAGATATGCTTTATTTAAAAAGTTACAGAATCAGTTTAAATTTTTTTTTTTTTCAGTTTAAGTTTTTTAACATGAAGCAACTAACATTTATACAGATGCTCTAATAATTCTCAAAGTAGCCTTGTGAGAGGGTGGTAATATCTCCATCTGAGAGCTCAAAGGTTTTAGAAAGTTTAATCAGTGGGGCCTGGGTGGTTCAGTCTGTTAAGGGACCAAACTCTTGATTTCTGCTCAGTTCAAGAATTTGGGGTCCTGGGACTGAGACCCGTGTCTGGTTCCGAGCTTGGTGGTGAGTCTGCTTGAGGATTCTCTGTCCTCCTCCTTAAGCCCTCCCTTCCCTCTCTCTAAAATAAGGAAGTCTTAAAAAAAAAAAAAAGTTTACATCATTTACTCAAAACTGTACAATTAGAAATCTTGGAATTGGGATTCCAATCCCAGTCAGCCCCAAGCTCCTATGCAGTCAGTTTATTTAAGTTCAACAAACATCAAAATACTTCATGGGTAATCTGCCACTTGTGTAGGTTACTAAATATTAAGAGTTTTAATATGAAAATTTTTACTGGTTAGATGAAATTATTGGAAGATTATAACTTCTCAAGGGTAGAATTTAAATCTGATATTGTTTTATTTATTTATTTTAAAGATTTTATTTATTTATTTGACAGAGAGAGATCACAAGTAGAGAGGCAGGCAGAGAGAGAGAGGGGGAAGCAGGCTCCCTGCTGAGCAGAGAGAACCCGATGCGGGGCTCAATCCCAGGACCCCGAGACCATGACCTGAGCCGAAGGCAGAGGCTTTAACCCACTGAGCCACCCAGGTGCCCCTGATACTGTTTTAAAGAAAAAAGCACCCACATATAAAAAGATGTCCCTCTAAAGAAAAAAAGAAAATTAAGTTTTAGATGACATTCTCTCTTACACCCTGACATCTAGAACATGTTGAACATAGCCTATTTCTTGCTTGATTTAATACTCATTTAATTGTGGTTGTCCAAATGAATATTAATTATTGCAAAGGTTACCTTATATATAATAATTTGTAAAAGGTATTGAAGCTGAATACCTGTCCCTGGATATGGGAACTATTTTCATGTTTACTTGTAGTCATTATGGCATAGTTTATACTGGGGTAAAATACTCAAATATAGGGGACAGGCAATAATGTAAATAATCACAGCAGGGAGGTATAATAGGTTTAATAAGATTAGTGGGGTTTGTGGCAAATTGGGAGTGAAAATTATTTGTCCAAAAGGGCAATGACCTCAACTCAACTAACTGTCCCATTTTGGTATCCATATATTTCAAAAGCATCTGGAAATCCGGATTTTTGTATGGAATCCGGTTTTAAATGTTGACAGAAGCTACAGTGTCCAAATCCCATAGCTACTGACCAGATAAGGAAGGACAGCAATTTGGGTTTTTTTTCAAAGAGTGAAATGTTTGAAGAGTGAATGCAGAAAAAGGTGTAGTTTAAATGTCCACAACGCACATTAATAGAGTAATAGTTTTAGTGCTTCTCAAGTTTTCTTTTGCCTGGGACCGAGAGTGGCCCTGCATTGTGAAGAGGTTGTGCCTTCCGTACACTCGCTCTAACTTTTAACACCTTACAGAAGACGTATTCATCAGTTAGACTGGATCAGGCCTTATAAAATGTCCAGTATTTTTAGGCAAACCCAAACCCAGGGTTCCACCTGAAGGCCACGTTAACACAGGACTGATTAAATATTTCAGACGGAGCGCTAATAGGGAAAGCCGAACTACCTTTGTTTGCAAATTTTTGCTGGCCAGGGACTAGCTTTTAAGTACGTTGAGCTTCTTCCTAGGAAGGAGCTGGCGTGAAAACTGGGTTTCTCACCCAGACGAGTGTACCTCTGCTCGTAGCCACAGAGCTTCTCTGTGCCCAGGGATTTGCGCGCCATGCCTGGAATCAGTATCAACAGAAATCGTTCTGCGTTCTTCGTAACTAATGGCAAGCTTCGGGTCCCGGATGTGACGTCAGCGCTCCTCCTGTTCTTCCGTCTATTGACGGAACTCTGGGCTCCCGGATTTGGTGCTTGTGTACGTGGAAGAAGCCGGCTCATGCGCAGTCCGCGCCTTTCGTCCCAGCTGTGCGGGCAGGGCTGAGGGTAACATCCCGGGATCGGGGGAGACGGTCGGGGTCATGGCCAGCCGCTGACAGGGCCCGCTGAGTGCAGAAGGGGGCGAGGCCGTTCCGGTGCACCTTTCCCCGGGCCTGAGGCCGTTCGGCTGGCCCTCGGCCTTCTCGCTTGGTGCTGCCGCCGCCGCTGCGGGCTGAGGAGGGGGGATGAGTTGGTTCAACGCCTCCCAGCTCTCCAGCTTCGCGAAGCAGGCCCTGTCCCAGGCCCAGAAGTCCATCGACAGGGTCCTGGATATCCAGGAAGAGGAGCCGAGCGCCTGGGCCGAGACGATTCCGTACGGGGAGCCAGGTAGGGGAGAGAGAGGAGCGGGGCCCCGGGGGTCCCTGCGCTCGCGGAGGCAAACAGGCGAAGAGGTGCAGACAGGGATCCTTCCCCGCTGACGGAGTTCTGAGCGAGTTCCGTCTCCCCAGCCGTCCACAAAGGCTCGTTTTCTCGAAGTGGTTTTCGCGGCTTTCCTGAGGGAAATCCCAGGTCCCTGGTACCTGTGGCCCCGGGTGCGGGTCCTGCGGGCCTTGGAAGTCCGGGTCGCGATTTGTCGGGCTTCTGCCCCGCCCTCTCTCGACGTAGTCCGGGGCGCGAGCACCCAGAAACTGGGATTGCTGCGCGCTGCGGACACTGAGGAGCCAGCATCTGAAGACCATCAGCCGGGACAGGAGGAACAGCCCCTGCCCCTTAATGAGCACGCTGTGCTTGGTGGCGCGGAATGTGCTTTTTTATGGGTTTCCCATTTCCCAGACAGCTCCCCCAGTTAGGCTGGTTACAGTCGGTGTTTTACGGAAGGGGAAAGCGAGGCTGAGAGAGGCAGAGTAGCTTCCTCCAGGCTACACAGCAGGGGAGGGGCAGAACATGGTGGAGGTATCACCCGTGCGAGCCGGCCCAGGAGTTTTGGGTTGCGTCCCATTGTATTTCCAAAGAGCTGCGTCTCCCTTTGCACATTTCTTGAGCTGAATCTTACAGGGGTCTTCGGCTGCTTTGGCTCTAAGAAACAGCTCCGCATTTTGGTATGAGGGGTAAAAATTTCCATTGGGGTGGGGGCTCTGAACCGCTGTGGAAAAAGAATTCAGTGATTGTCGACTAATTCTTTCCGATTTGTTTTTAAATATACATCTTTGAAAAGTCAGGACCTAAGTTGGAGGTACCCCATTTTAAGATATTTTTGGCCCATGGCTGTATGTCATGATCTTCCTACCTTATACGAGGTGCTATAGGACCTTGTTGGAGTATCTCAACTTCCTCTTTCACAGATACCCTGCATTTTGAATTACTAAACTTTAGAAGAGACAGAGTATAAACTTTAGATATAAGGATACTCATTTTATGAAATCCGGGGCTTGAATCCTCTATGATGTAAGAAAGATGTTAGGGTTTGAAGCTCACATCCAAGAAAGAATTCTTGGTGGTTTTATTAAAGCGCAGGGACAGGACCCATGGGCAGAAAGAGCTGCACCGGGGTCATGAGTGGCCCATTTTATACCTTCAAGTGGGGCTAGCTGTTGTTAGGAGAAGGTCATTTATTGCTGCTTAGTAAAAACGCAGTTGTGAGACTCTCCAGATGTATATTGGTGGGTCATATCTTTGGGAGGATGATTGCCAACATATATCTTGGGGATAGCGATAAAGGAGATTTCTAAAGGAATTTTTATATTTTATAGTAGACTTACAGGATTTGGGGGGTCTGGCTAAGATTTCCTTTTGCCCTTAGCCAAGTATTGACGTTGAGGCAGCTGAGTTCCTAAAGGAACTCTGCCTGTTTCAAGGACTTGTCAATGGACTGCTAGTAGTAAGGAAATTTAATAATTTTTCTTGTGCCTTTGTTTCCCATATCAGTCTGTACGATTCATTTTTCAAAATAGGTTATCCAGAATAGACTCAGATTTAGTGAAATGCTGTGAATACTTATTGATCACCTGTGTTTTACATTGCCTTACTCAAAGATGACCAGTGGATATCTGATGACCCCTGGGATTTATATAAAACATTCTTCAGCTTCTTCAAGAGGCAAATTTAACTTTTGTCGTTCATTAAGATGACCTACTAAATTAAGCTAATTAACACCCTTAATCATGCTTGTTCATTTGCATCTTTACTTTTGGCTTTTTCCTTTTTTTTCAGTGTTTTCATATACTAAACCATTGGGTATAAAATTGACCCCAAACTGAAGTTTCCTACATACTTCGATACATCTGAAGCTGTATTATAGGATAGACTTTAATTTAGGGCTTAATAGTTTTAGGAGATTTTTCAGTGCTTGTTCATGCCCCACCAACTTCTAATTGTGCAGAATTTTTGGTAATTCTACTCAGCCACTTTTGAGTTTAGAAAAAAGAATTTTTTTTAAAAGAAATGCTTTAAATATTTTAGTAAATATGTCATTTTTGTTTATCATT